AAATTATAGGATATTGGACTTCAAGCCAAAATTAATCAGAACAGACAAAAAAGTTTATACTGAGAAAGAGAACAATTCAACAAGAAGATAGAACAGTAGTTTTAGGTCCCAAACGTTGGTGGACCTAATCACATAAAAAAGACACTACTTGAATTAAAGACCCAGATAGACCCCAGGGCAGTAATACTGTGTAATTTCAACACACCTTTCACCAATAAATAGATCATGCATACATATTATTCAATACAGAGTTAGGTATTAAGACCTAAAAATTACTATGAATCAAATTGACTTAATAGACATCTGTAGAATATTTCATCTAACAACAGCTGAATACACTTTCTTCTCAGCTGCTTGTGGAACTTTCTCCAAAATAGATCATATTTTAGGCCACAAAGCAAGTTTTAGAAAATATTTTAAAAATGTTATACTCCCTTGCATCTTATCTGATCATAATGCAATGAAATTAGAAATAAATACCAGGAAAAAACGTGCAGAAATCTTGAAAACATAGAGATTGAACAGTATCCTTTTGGATAAATGATGAATGGGTGATAGAAGAAATCAGGGAAGAGATTATAAATTCTTCACATCAAAGAAGAATAGTGGTAAAACATACCAGAATCCCTGGCACTCATGAAGGCACTTCTGAGAGGAAAATTTATAGCTATGAGTGTATATATGAGAAAATTAGAAATATGTCAAATAAACAACCTAATGACGAATCTCAAGGTCATTGAAAAACAAGCACAAACCAATTGCAAAACCAGTTAAAGGAAGGAAATATCAAAGGTCAGAGCCAGAATCAGTGAAATAGAGGATTAAAAAAAGTATGCAAAGGAGCAGTGAAACAAAGAGTTCGTTCTTTGGAAGGATAAATAAGATTAATAAGCCCTTGGCCAAAAGAAAAAAGACCAAAATTAATAAAATTAGAAATGAAAAAGGAGAAATCACCACAGACATACAGAAATCCAGAGGATCATTAGGAACTAGTTTGAAAACTTACACTCCAGTTAATTGGAAAGCCTACAAGAAACGGATACATTTCTAGACGTGTATAACCTTGCCAAAATTGAATCAAGAGGACATTGAAAGCCTAAACAGACCAATAACTAGCAGTGAGATAGAAATAGTAATAAAGAGCTTCCAAAATACAAGAGCCCAGGACCAGATGAATTCTCAGTATAATTCTACAGATTTTAACTAAGAATTAATTCCAATTTTTCTTGAATTATTCCATGAACTAGAAAGGGATGGAATACTTCCAGTATTACCCTTATACCAAACTACATAAGGACACATAGAAGAAAACTACCAACAATATCCCTCATGAACTTAGATGCAAGAATTCTTAATAAATATTAATTAGCAAATCGTATTCAACAAATAATATGATTGTACATCATGATCATGCATCGTGATCATGTTGGTTTTATCCCAAGGATGCAAGAATGGTTTAACATATAAAAATCAATAAATGTAATTCACCATATAAATAGAATCACCATCATCTTAATGGTACAGAGAAAGCCTTTGACAAAATTCAATTCCCATTCATGATTTAAAAAATCAGAAACTAGGGATGAAAGTAACTTATTTCAACATCATAAAGCTAAATACAGCATACCTACATTGAATATCATACTAAATGGGAAAAAAACTGAAAGAATTTCCTTTAAAATTTGGAACATATCTTGTTCCAAATAAGGATGTCCACTCTCACCACTCCTATTCAATATAGTATAAGAAATATTAGCCAGAGCAAATTAGACAAAAGAAGCAAATTTTAAGAAACAAAAATGGGAAAGGAGGAAGTCAAATTATCACTATTTGCAGATGAGTCTCTACTTAAAGGAACTAAAAAGTTCCATCAGAAGACTGCTAGAGTTAATAAATCAGCAAAGTGGCAGATTACAAAATTAACATACAAAACTCATAAGCTTCCCTAAATAATAAGGAATCTGCTGAGAAGGAAAATAATCCCATTTACAGTAGCCTCAAAAAATAAATAAAATACCCAGAAATAAAATTAACCAAGTAAGTGAAACATCTCTATAATGAAAACTATAGAACATTGAAGAAAGAAATTGAAGACAACACAAGAAGATAGAAAGACTTCCTCTGTTCATGAACAGGCAGAATTAATATTGCTAAAATGGACACATTACTAAAAACACTATACAGATTAAATGCAGTCCCCATCAAAATGCCAATGGTATTCTTCACAGAACTTGGAAAAAGTCCTAATATTTATTTGGAAGAATAAAAGAATCCTAGCCAAAGCAGTTCTCAGCCAATAAACAATGCTGGAAGCATCACAATATCTGATTTCAAATTACACTACAGAGCTATACTAACAAAAAACTGCATGGCACTGGCATAAAAACAGACACTGGTTCAGAATAAAAGACATAGACAAATGCACATATCTACAGGCATTTGATCTTTCACAAAGGTGCCAAAGGCCTTTTAAACAAATAATACTAGGAAAACTGGTTATCCCTATGTAGAAGAATGAGACTAGATCCTTATCTCTCACCCTGCACAATAGTTAACTCAAAGTGGACCAGGGACCTCAGAATTAGGCCATAAACCATGCAGCTGCTGGAGAAAACATAGTGTCAATACCCTAACATAAGGGCAGGCAATGACTTTCTCAGACCGCTAAAGCTGAGGAAATAATTTTAAGAGTTAAGAAGTGGATTGGCATAAAATTTAAAGGTTTCTGCACAGCAAAGGAAACAAGAATGTGAAGAGAGAACTTACAAAATGGGAGAAAATCCTGCTAGCTACTATTCTAAAGAATTAGTAAACTATAGCAATACATGCGTATCCAAGTGTATAGCAACACAGTTCACAATAGCCAAGCTATGGAACGAGCCTCTGTGTCTGTCCAGGTCCAAACAAAGTCCAGCAATACAGTGTGGCCCATTTGGTTTTACTTCAGGAACATAGGGTGCCTTTTACATTTGTATAGTAATGTAATTTACCATGTTAGGAGAATAAAAGCTAAACATCACATAATCATCTTGAGAGATGCTGGGAAATCATCTCTCATTAAATCATTAAATGATTTCCCAGCATCTCTCAAGATGACTATGGTGATCCTTATACAAAATACATGTATGAAGATTTGAATTTGGGACCAACATACCTTATAAACAAACAGAGATATGAAAATTTGTGGTATATATGTGTATTAAGAATTGTAATGCAAAAAAAGAGTACATGTATAATGGCAAAAAAATAGTGTTCATTCATAGTAAAAAAAAAAAACAAATAGCAATAGAAAACTACTAAATTTCTTTTTAAAAAAACTACAGCAGACATCATAATTTATGGTAACATTGAAAACTCTCCCTTTGAAGTCAGAATGAAGCAAGGATGTAAGTCAAACCTGTAAAATTGAAAGCCAGGTACAGTGGTACATGCCTAAACTCCAAGCTACTTGGGAGGCTAAAACAGGAAAATTGCAAGTTTGAGGCCAATCTGAGTAACCTAGCCAAGCCCCTGTCTCAAAATAAAATAAAGGAGCCTAGAGATGTACATGTAGCTCTGTGGTAGAGACTTGCCTGTCATGCACTAAGCCAGGCAACCCCCAGTACAAAAATAAATAGATAGATAAATAGATAGATAGGCAGACACGTGTGTGTGTGTGTGTGTGTGTGTGTATATATATATATATATATATATAATAAAAAAGGAAATTATAAATCTGTCATTATTCATATGTGATGTGACTTCAGATATTCTAGAAAATATAAAAGGATCCAAAACAAAGGTGCTAGATATAAGGACCATATATTTGAAAATTCATTTTTCTATCTAACAGCAACTAAATGATTTTAGAAAGATACCATTTATAACAGCATCAAAAAAGCAAATATATAGAAATAAATCTTTAAAAACTTTTACATAGTAAACAATAAAATATTATTGAGACTTAAAGTTATTTTTAAAACATTGAGAAACATCTTTTAAAAACTTCAGTAATATAGTTTTCATTATATTTGTGGTTGAAACATTTAATATTATAAAGATGTTGAATTCATCTCAGATTAACCTGTTGATTCCATATAATCTCAAACAGCATCTCAATAGGCTTTGGTGGGAGAGATGTAGAACTTGAAGCTCTGATTGTAAAATTTATATGGAAGTGCAAAGGCTCAAATGGCCAAAACAATTCTGGAGATGAACAATGTGGGAGACGTTCTTTTATTGGATATTAAAACCTATTATTAAGGGCTGGGATTATGGCTCAGTGGGAGAGCACTCGTGCGAGGACCTGAGTTCGATCCTCATCACCACATAAAAATAATAAAGATATTGTGTCCAACTACAACTAAAAAAATAAATATTTTTTAAAACCTATTATTAAACTATAATAGTTAAGATAGTATCATTTTGGTGCAAGGATGGACAAATATTTGCTTGTAACTAATCTTAAGAAATGGGTAAGAGTCTTAAGAAGGCACAGATTGAAGATAATAATGTCAGAATAACAGAACAGAAAAATAAAGTTTGGTCAGCTTCTTTTAAATTTGTTTTGGCAATTAGATTCTTAGCATCTGGCTGTTAGAGACTAATCCTTAAATTCGTCCCCCTACTTTGCATTCCAAGACTATCAATGGACAACCTATAGTCACAAATAGTACCAAATCCTATACATACCTATGATAAAGTTAAATTTATAAATTAAGGACAGTAAGGGCTTAACAATAACTAATAATTAAAAGAGGAATTTTAACAATATATTGTGAATGTGGTCTCTTTCTTTGTTTCTCAAAATATTGTACTGTGCTGATCACCATTGACTGCTGATAACTGAAACTATAGACAGCAAAATCACAGATAAAGGGTAACTACTCCCTAAAACATCCTCACATAGAATCTGTCATAACACTGCTTATTAAACAAATATATAGAAGATGTTTAATAGTTACTTTGAATCGAATTTATTGAGTGCTTAAGTAACTGTTTTCAATAATTTTTGGTTTTAGATCTGCTGACTTGGGTCCTGCTTTATTGACAAGGCCTGGACAACCAACACTTACCAGAGTGCCCCCACCTATTCTTCCAAGGCCATCACAGCAGACAGGAAGCAGCAGTGTGAACACTTTCAGACCTGCATATAGTTCATTTTCGTCTGGATATGGCACCTATGGAAATTCATTTTATGGAAGCTATAGTCCTTATAGTTATGGATATAATGGGTTGGGCTATAACCGCCTCCGTGTAGATGATCTTCCACCCAGTAGATTTGTTCAGCAAGCTGAAGAAAGCAGCAGAGGTGCATTTCAGTCCATTGAAAGTATTGTACATGCCTTTGCCTCTGTCAGTATGATGATGGATGCTACTTTTTCAGCTGTTTATAACAGTTTTAGGGCTGTATTGGATGTAGCAAATCACTTCTCCCGATTAAAAATACACTTTACAAAGGTTTTTTCAGCTTTTGCATTAGTTAGGACTATAAGATATCTTTATAGACGGTTACAGTGGATGATGGGTTTAAGAAGAGGCTCTGAGAATGAGGACCTGTGGGCAGAAAGTGAAGGAACTGTGGCTTGTCTTGGTGCGGAGGACCAAGCAGCTAACTCAGCAAAATCTTGGCCAATATTTTTGTTTTTTGCTGTTATCCTCGGAGGTCCTTATCTCATCTGGAAACTTTTATCTACCCACAGTGATGAAGTAACAGGTAAGAATAAGGGAACAGGTTCAGACAACCATATAATTTAGATTTGTTAAATTAACATTCTTTTTATTCATTTGTATTTACTTTTTGATCTAGTTATTTTCCATTAAGAACTTCAAAATTAGAAAAGGAATGTCACAAAGACGAATTTGCCGATTTAGTATTAGTTCAGTTTAACATACATTTCCTAAATACTATTTACAAGGAACTGAACTTGGTACTGTGGAGGATACAAAAGATGCATAGGGCATAATCCCTATTTTTCTAAAACTTTTTGGGAGGGAAGTGATTAAGATACATATACAGTGACTGGGGTTGTGGCTCAGTGGTAGAGCTCGCCTTGCATGTGACAGACCCTGGGTTCGATCCTCGGTACCACATAAATAAATAAAATAGAGATATTGTGTTCAAATACAACTAAAAAAAATTTTTAAAAAAGATATATATACAGGTAATTATAATGAGACAAAGTGTAGTAGGGATTAGGACAGTTAAGGAGACACAAAGTTTCTCGAGCCTCTTTTTATATGCAGCATACTGTGTTAGGTATTTTCTGTACTATAATCTCATTATTTCACAAATCCAAAAGTAAGACTTATTCTCATTTTACAAGTGGCAAAACAGGTTCAGAGAAATCACCTGTCCAAGGTCACATCTTTAATAAGGCAGAACCAGAAACAAAACCCAAGCTGCTTGACTATTAAGTCCATGTTCTATGAACCGTTACAAAGTGCTAGAAAAGTGAAGCTAATATTTTTGGCCCTACTATCCAGGAAGAAATGTCATTTGCCTTAGGTTTTTGAAAGATAGATAACATTTCATCCACTAGTAAGGAAATGGGGAAAGGAGGTCAGCAGATATAGCTCAGTGAGAGAGTGCATGCCTAGCTTGCATGAGGACCTGGATTCAATCCCCATTACCACACACACACAAAATAGGTGGGGTTAAAATACTATCAAGCAGATGGAACAGCTTGTAAAAGGCTGAAAATAAGAGATTTGTTATGCAGCTGTCGTATATTAGCTGTCCTATTCATCCTTGAATAGAAGGATGTTAAGAAATAAGGTTGAGAAATTATGTTGAAGCTTAATAGTGGAAGATCTTACTTCATTTGGGGTTTATTGGTAGTTTTTTGTTTCTTTGTTTTTTGTTTTATTTTGTTGGTTCAAGTCTAAACTGAGCAACTTATAGCAAGGCCCTGTCTCAAAATAAAAAATAAAAGAAGGGCTGGGGATGTGGTTTAGTGGAAGAGCACTTGCCTGGCATTTTCAAGGCTCTGGATTCAATCCCAGTGCCACTAAAAAATAAAAGATGAATTTTTGAAAAATCCTGTCCTTGTGGCAATCTAATGATAGGAGACAGTAAACAAATAAAATTTAGAGTAAACTGGAAGGTAATAAGTGCTATAGGAAAAAATAATAATTATAAAGCAGGCAAGAATGTTAGGGAGTATCAGGAGGAAGAAGAGGGGTTACATTGCTACATATAGTCAGAAAAGGGCTCCCTGAAGGAGGTGAGGGAAAAAGTCCTACAGCTATTAGAGAGAAAAGTGTTTGAGGCATAGTGAGCAGCAAAATTGCAAAGGTATTTAAGTGACAGTGTGCCTAGCCCATCAAGTGAACAGTAAGGTCAGCATAGTGGCAACAAAATGAGAGTCGCAAGAGGCAAGGGGGGAAGAATACAGGGGTTGGACTTAATGAGTTTGATGTGTCAATGGAACATTTAAGTGGAACTTGAGAAAGTTTCAGAGAGCAGTTTAAAAGGCAGGATAGGATCTTAGGAAAGAAGTAAAAAATAAGATATATGAGTCATGTACATAGAAGTGATAGAAGAAGGGGCTGGAGTTGTGGCTCAGTGGTAGAGCGCTCACCTAGTACATGTGAGGTGCTGGGTTCCATCCTCAGTACCACAGAAAAATAAATTAAAAAATAAAGATACGATATCTTTGTGTACAACTAAAAAATAAATATTTTTTAAAAAGAAATGATAGAAGAAATAGTAAGTGGATTATATTACAATGGTAAAGAAATAGGAAAGAAGAGAGGATGTTTTAGTGAGCTTTTTTGCTATTGTGACCAAGATACCTGACAAGAACAATTTTAGAGGAGGAAAAGTTTATTTGGTGCCCATGTCCATAGATGGTCAGCTCCATAGCTCTGGGCCAAAGAAGAGACAACACATCATGGCAGACGAGTGTGGTGGAGGAAAGCAGCTCAGGATATGTTACCTTTCCTCACCAGGACAAAACATAAACTCTAAAGCCATGCCCCCAATGACCTACTTCCTTAGCCATACCCTTGCCCACCTGCAGTTACCACCCAGTTAATCCTTATCAGTGGATTAATGAATTGATTAAGTTAAGGCTGTTATAACCCAAACATTTCACCTTTTAATCCTTTTGCATTGTCTCACATATGAGCTTTTGGGAGACACCTCATACCTAAACCATAACTGAGGATAAGATGGAAATCACCAAGAACAAAATTAGAACCATGTTTTTGCTGCATTATAAAACCAAAAGTGGAAGGAGGAAGTTTTAAGATCAGGAAGAAAGATCATGAATGATATCAAGTGCTATAATAAGAATGAGAACTGAAAAAAGATCATTAGATTTGGTAGTTGGAGGACATCAAGCTCCAGCAGGTAGTTTTGGTAGAGTGGAAAAAATGGAAACTTTTTTTTATTTTATATATATGTATAGATAGATAGGGTTTTCTCTTTAGTTGTCAGTGGACCTTTATTTTATTTATATGCAATGCTGAGAATCGAACCCAGTGCCTCAAACATGCTAGGTCCAAGATGGAAACTTTTGAAGGGCGGAAGGGGTAAATAAACTCAGCAGGCACGATGGCCCAAACCTGTAATCCCAATGGCTCAGGAGGCTGAAACAGGAGGATCGTAAATTCAAAGCCAGCCTCAGCAAAAGTGAGGCACTAAGCAACTCAGTAAGACCCTGTCTCTAAAATACAAAATAGGACTAGAGATGTGGCTCAGTGGTTGAGTGCCCCTGAGTTCAATTCCCAGTACCCAAAATAAATAAACTCAAATTTTAAAAGGAAAGATGAACAGTGAATAGAAGAGAAGAAGAATAGTTTGTCAGTGTAGTTATTTTCAGCTTTTTGTTTTGTCTTTTAAGAAGTTAGATCTGAAGTATGTTTTTAGGGTAAAAGAAGTCGTAGAGAAGGAGTGATTAGAGATCAGGAAGAGACAGAGGATGAAAAAGCCTTTTACGGGCTGGAGATGTGGCTCAAGAGGTAGCGCGCTCGCCTGGCTGCGTGCGGCCTGGGTTCGATCCTCAGCACCACATACAAACAAAGATGTTGTGTCCGCCGAAAACTGAAAAATAAATATTAAAATTCTCTCTCTAAAAAAAAAAAAATGAGTGAGATTGTTTAAAAAAAAAAAGAAAGAAAAAGCCTTTTATAGGAGGTAGAAGAGAATATGATCTAAGGAAACAGGTAAAAAGCAGGGTCAAAAGAAGAGGAAATGGGTCATGATACAAAGAGATTTTTGTAAATGAAATGGAGGAAACTTGGGTCTTATGACTTTGCCTACTTAGAAGAGGGGTCTGCAAATTATGGCCTATGGACCAAATCTTGCCTGCTCCTGTTTTTGTATAACACATAAGTTAAGAATTTTTTTATATTTTTTCAATAATTGGAAGAAATTTAAAGATATATTTTTAAATCAGAAAAATTTCTGATTTGACAATGATTTGAAATTCAAATCTTAGCACATGTTGAGTAAAGTTTTATCGTAACAGCCATACTCATTGTATATATTGTTATGGCTGCTTTTTGTGTTATATGAGCAGAGTTGAGTACTCTCATTGCTTCATATTCTTTTCTGTACATTACAGATCTTCCTAATTAGTTACAACTTGATAGCATGTAGAGTGCCACATACATTGTTACAACACAAAATTTTTTCACAAGTGCTTACTTGACACATGAGAAAAGCAGATTTTGAATGTCATATGTATAGTATGGATTGTTTTGTTATTGAATTAGATGGTAAAGCACTACTTACTATGCAGTGACACTCTAGCTTTTTAAAATAAATATAATGTACATCATTACCAGACTGAGCACTATTCACAAAATCAATGCTCAGAAACAGTAGGAACTTTACAAATAGAAATCTGTTATCATAGCAAATTTCCTTACCCTCCCCCACAAAAAAGGAAAAGGAAAATGAGGCTGCAATTAAAATAACTTTCTGAAAAGTTCATTTGTTAGCCAATCAGGGAAAGCTGTTTACTGATGGTGATTGCAACTGCCAAGAAATATGTCCAGAAAAAGTTAACGTTAAAGACTTACTAGCTTTCAGTAGGAACAACTTCTTGAAGAGTTAATAGCATTTGGAACAGCATAGCCAACTTAAAGCAAATGAAGGACTGAGGCTATAGCTCAGTAGTAGAGTATGTGCTTAGCATGTACAAGGCCCTGGGTCTAATCCCCAGCACTTAGAAAACAAGAAAGTGCAAGTTATTTGAATATTTTTCCTAAACTTGTAATGACCGGATAGATGCTGATAGTGCTGAGTTTTTTGTTATTTTGTTTTTCTTGTTTGTTTGTTTGTTTGTTTTGAGGAATATGGATGAATTTGAAGTGACTTAGCCTCAGTGAATATTATGTGGTGTAACTACAGGCAAAAATAGTTGAATTGAAACACTAATTCAACTGAGGTGGAATCTACTAAGATGTATTGCACCTGATGGTGTGAAAATATAGGTAGAGCAGAAGGCAGATTAGTTGGACAAAATTTACAGCAGGGATATTGCAGAAAATATTTGAACTTATCAGGTATTATTGAATAAATAGTATCAAGTTAAAATTTATTTACTTTTATGATATAACTATTATTAGTTATGTGAGTTTTTCATATGTAGAAACTGAAGATTCTGACTTTACCTACTATACAGCAGTTCAGGAGCTTAACAGGGGTTGTTTTATTTACTTATTTTTTAATTGAGGCCAAGGTTGAAATTTTCCTAAACAAAACCATCCTCAGTCACCATTATTAAACATAAATGGCTTTAACAATAAACTTTTGCTATTAACTTATATAATATCCTTAATGAATTAAACATAAACCATAAAATAGAATAGTACCTGTGTGTAAAAACTTACACTGGAGTAAAGTTATTTTGACAGTGCTCACATTATTTGAATTACAAATAATGTCACTGCTTTATACATCTCCCAGACTGTCAGAAATTAAAATAAGAAGTGATATCTCAAGTCCCACACAAATTTGCAGCAGATAGATTTTCCAAACTCAAACTACAATGCCAGAAGTAACTTTTAGACTTCTAATGCAAAGAAAAATTCCATATTTAGGAATCCATTTAACTGTGTAATTGAGGAGCTTGCACTTAGTCTTTATTCAAAAGTGATTAATCTGCAATGTAATGACTTGGTAAAAGGCAAAATCAAGGGAAGAATTTGACAGAATTATATTCTAGACTATTAATCTCCCAAGTAATGCATATGTTTAATTAACACCACATGCTCATGAATGAATTGGTATCAGGATTTGGCAGTACTTATTGTGTGAAAAGACACTGACAAAGATGAAATACCTAAAATATCATTTAATTTAGCATTAACAAATGAATATTGCAGTCTAGTCCAAATGAAGCAAAATACTACCCTCACCCCAAAATATTCCATCTGTCTTAGTAGTAGAATTATATTACCCCCTTCCAAAAAGAAAGAAAACTCATTATTACAATTTTGGATTTCATCATAACATTCTATATTTTCCTTTTGGCCTGCAAAATCTAAAATACTTAAAGCAAGGGGGCTAGAATTTTTAGCTCAACAAAAAGGATAAAGTTCATAAGAAATAGCCTTGTGAATACACTGTTTACTTAACATAGCATTCACTATAAAATTTATTTGGGAATGAAAGACTTTTTTCTTGGTAAATGAATTTATGCAATTTATATTTATGCAATTATAAGCCATAGACAGTAAAAGATCTATATTTTCCTTTTGCATGTTTTACTAACTTAAATTCTTAATTTGGCTTATAGACAACATCAACTGGGCAAATGGTGAGGATGACCATGTAGTTGCTAGAGCAGAATATGATTTTGCTGCTGTATCTGAAGAAGAAATTTCTTTCCGTGCTGGTGATATGCTAAACTTAGCTCTCAAAGGTAACAAATCATGAATGAATTGGAATCACATCTGAATTTTTAGTATTTATAAATATAGTATTAGAAACAGCAACAAAGGATCTTGTTCATGTTAGTTAATTTTGAGGTAGCTACTGGAATTTCTCTTTTGTATTATTTTTTCACCTTCCAAATCTGAAGAAGTCAGGAGAAATGCCCCACCACTCTGTTCCAATAATATTTCATTGACATGGTTTTTTGTAAACTCAAAACACTTGAATTACAAATTCTTTTAATCCCCACACAACAGTATGAATTAAGGACTAAATGTAGCAAATCCAGTAAGCCAAAGGAATTATTTAATATCTTTTAAGGGTCTCTGTCCTTTGGCTTTCATTATTTGAATAGTGTTTAATTCAGAAACTCCATTATGAGTTGGGCATGGTGGTGCGTGCCTACAATCTCAGCCACTCGAGAGGCTAAGCCAAAGGATCACAAATTCAAGGCCAACCAGCACAACTTATCAAGACCCTGTCTCAAAACTTTTTAATAAAAAGAGCGGGGTTCTAGTTTAGTGGTAGAGTGCTTGCATAGAATGTATAAGACATTGGGATCAATCCCCAGTACCACAAAAAAAGGAAAAAGAAACTCTATCATGAGTATCCTAAGAATTATCATTATAAAGTATTTGAGAACCTTAGCAAGAAATTCATACATATCTCAGATTTATTTTTGGACCAGGTCACTAATAGTTTTTAATGACTTCAGACAAAATGATCTTTTCATTCACTTTTCTTCAGGAAGAACAACCAGGATTTTCGTGAATTTATTTCTTAAAAATGTGTGTGTTTGGGGCTGGGGTTGTGGCTCAGCAGTAGAGAGCTCGCCTAGCACATATGAGGCACTGTGTTTGATCCTCAGTACCACATAGAAATTAATAAATAAAGGTATTGGGTACAACTACAACTAAAAAATTTAAAAAAAAAAATGTGTTTGTGGGGACTTCACGATTATTACAGAAAGTCACCTTTTATTATCCTAACCCTATTTTACAAGTGAGGAAACATAGAATGAGTTAATTGTCCAGTACAGAAAGCTAAAATTTGGTAGAGCTGGACTATGAGTCTGAGTTTGTCGGACTTCAGAGCCTATGCTTTTAACCACTCTGGCTAACTTTTCCATGGGAGTATATATTAAGGGAAACTTTCTTTGCTGCTTACTAGTTTTAGTCACTCTTTACATAGGAAAAAAAAATACCTTCAATGTTCAAATTTTTCCCATCTTTAAAATTAATTTTCACTATCTTCAGGATTAGTTATCACAATCACATGGAATGAGTTTATATTTGAGCCAAAAGTTACATAAGGAAAACTGACTGCATAAAATTGTATGTGTCTTTAAAAACCAGTGTTGTTGGCATGTCCCTGAATTACTAGCTACTCAGGAGACTGAAGCAGGAGGGTCACTTGGTCACTTGAGACTAGAAGTTTAGGACCAGCCTGGCCAACATAGTGCAATCCTATCTCTTTAAAAGAGAGAAAGTATACATTTACTTTCTAATCTTGCCCCTAACTTACCCAAATGAGTAAAAGTATTAGATATTCCTTAGATTCAAATTTAATAAAAAAGACACTGATGTTTTTAGATTTTTGAGAGAACTGAATCTGCTTACACTATAAGTGGACCTGCTGAGGTTAACTTTTACTGTTTTATTCTTCAAGTCAAAAAGAAATAGTAGAAAATAAAAAAATACAAAATATAGGAATGGACTTAAAGTGAGGCATAGTGATGTGTGCCTGTAGGCCCAGTCGGAAACCTAAGGCAAGAGGATTGCTTGAGCCTGAAGTTTGAGGCCAGCCTAGGTAACATAGTGAGACCCTGTCTTGGGGAAGAAAAAAAAAAATCCTGAACTGTTAAGCCTACTCAGCATTTGATTTTGAATATACATGCATGTACTATTTGTTCAGATGTTATTTATAAAATTGCAATATAGATTTTACTTAACATTTACCATTAATATTGTTGGATATCCAAAGTATAATTACAAAATTGTCTTTTTTCCATCAGAACAACAACCCAAAGTGCGTGGTTGGCTTCTGGCTAGTCTTGATGGTCAAACAACAGGACTTATACCTGCGAATTATGTCAAAATTCTTGGTAAAAGAAGAGGTAGAAAAACGGTGGAATCAAGTAAAATTTCTAAGCAGCAACAATCTTTTACCAACCCAACACTAATTAAAGGAGCCACGGCTGCCAATTCTTTGGATGAACAGGAAGCTGCCTTTGAATCTGTTTTTGTTGAAACTAATAAGGTTCCGAGTGCACCTGATTCCTCAGGGAAAAGTGGAGATAAACAAGATCTTTGATATCTTTCATATTTGAGTGCAGTTGAACAATACTTTGGAATTCTTTTTAAAATTATTTCTTAAAAAAATTAATCTTCAATTGAAGGAAAATATTTGTTATTATCTATTCCAGGTGTTTTGCTGCTAGAAATTATTAAAGTTCTAAATGGGAATTATTAAAGTTCTATGTATTTTACACTAGTTGGTCGAGTGACCTGGTTATACTTTACAATTTATTGGACCATGAGGTGGGCTTTTAAGATTATGGAAAGCTGTCATTTTCATCATATTTAAATCCTAAATTTATTTGAAAAATAAGACTGATGAATTGTAGAATGCATGGTTTACAACATAAGGAATCATTAGTGCTTCTAAAAGTTCTAGATTAATTGAAATCTTTAGAAATTGGGTGATAACAAATATGAAAACAGGCAAAAAGGCTAATGGTTTATACTCTTAAGTAAACTGAATAATAAAAATTTTCTGATCTGTGTTTTATCCAGTGTTAGGTTTACTTTATGTAGTAGTATGTTTTTACCCACAGTTGACGTTATCTTTTCTTGTATTTATAAAAATTCAACTTGAAAAGGTCATTAGAAGCTTAATGAAGGAAATGGTTCTAGAATGATAGAGTATAATTCTTTATCCTTTGCAATACAACTAGTTTTCATTCTGGACAAATCAGAAGATATGAAAGATTTACATTTTTCTCCAACAAAGACTCAAGTCTTTTGAGTTTGTACTTAATAATATGATCAGTTCTAATAGTAATGATTTTTAATCTTTTCATATAGTCTCTGCTTCTACCTAGGGCAGAAATTTCATATTCTGGATGTTCATTAACACTGAAAATGTGTCATATTGACTATGCATTTCTTTTAGATTTAGTTTTTACTCCTGAAACTATAAATAAAATATTCATTTGCCATTTAGAATGTAATAGTACTATTTGTTTGTTTTATGCTTAATAATGATCTTAAACAAGTTTTAGTACACTGAATATTTCCCCATAAAATTGGAAAATTCATACACTTGCTGTGATCATACTACAGATTAATACTATCAGGAATATAGGTATGCAAGAATACATTTATAAATATTGTCAAAAATTTTTATAAAAATTGTGATTTAGTATTTTTATCTTTCTTATAGATTTGTGTTTTTCAAACAAGTAACTCAAGAATAGTTCAGATTAAACTATATCTATATACCCAGAATACAACTTTGCTAACAGCTTCTTAGGAAGCCCTTTTTTGAAATGACAATATGGTAACAAACATATTATTTAAAATGGAAATCTTTACCCTGTGCAGAAAAAAATAAGTACATGTAGTAAAATTTATTATCTTATACCTATTTTTCTAATATATACATATTAGCCCTCAAATTAAAAAGGTAAAAGTTTCTCATTGTTTTTCATTTGTTTTACAATTAAAGATTCTTCTTTGAATTGTTAAAGACTAATTTATGGAAATTTTGTTCTTGAAGCACATTTTTAATAAAACAAATTATTAACATTTGGTCTTGAGATATCTAAATTGAATGCTAGAAATAAATAAATGTTTTGTCAGCATTACTTAGGTTAGAAAAGTTGAGGAATTAAGATAATATTTGTGACAGCTGTTAAAGATGTATAAGGAAAGGAGTATAGTACAAAATGAAGGAAAACAATTTCACCTTTCTTTGGTTAAGTACGCTATACAGCAGGTGATATCTAACTTCTAACTTTGTTTAACAGTTCTCTTTCTATTAAAACTCTAGAAGAGTGCTACTTTATAGAAACCAAATTTTAAGTTAAATAAATCATAAGTCATAGTAAGGAAACAATTTTCTAATTTATCTGATGACATTTTATTTATTCGAGAAAGAAAAAAGTAACAAGGACTATAAATTTTCATGTCATTTAGGTATTTGATTTAGTCTGTCAGTGTAGCAATTAAACATTAACTTGAAGAGAGCTATCCTTATTTGGTGCTTTCTTTAATGGAAAAAAGAGCAAATTGCAGTTAAATCTTTATTTTACAGACTGTGAACTTTTACTAGAGAAATAAAAATATATTAAGCTTGATTGACTTTTTTTATTGGTTGTTCAAAACATTACAAAGCTCTTGACATATCATATTTCATACATTAGATTCAAGTGGGTTATGAACTCCCATTTTTACCCCAAATACAGATTGCAGAATCACATCGGTTACACATCCACATTTTTACATAATGCCATATTAGTAACTGTTGTATTCTGCTACCTTTCCTATCCTCTACTATCCCCCCTCCCCTCCCCTCCCATCTTCTCTCTCTCTACCCCATCTGCTGTAATTTAATTCTCTCCCTTGTTTTTTTTTCCCCCTTTCCCCTCACAACCTCTTATATGTAATTTTGTATAACAATGAGGGTCTCCTTCCATTTCCATGCAATTTCCCTTTTCTCTCCCACCTCATGTCTCTGTTTAATGTTAATCTTGATTGACTTTTTAAAAGATAAACTCTAGCTGGGCACGGTGGCCCAAGCCTGTAATCCCAGCAGCTCAGGAGGCTGAAGCAGGAGGATTGTGAGTTCAAAGCCAGCCTCAGCAATGGCAAGGCACTAAGCAACTCAGTGAGACCCTGTCTTTAAATACAAAATAGGGCTGGGGATGTGGCTCAGTGGTGAAGTACCTCTGAGTTCAATCTCCGGTACTCAAAAAAAAAAAAAAAAGATAGGCTCTTAACTCTTGAAGTTTGGAAGGTCTCCATTTTTCTTCATATCATTGTGTATATTACCTACTTACTGCCCACCAGCGTAACTATTCTATTTCTTTGTGATGTAAAGAAAAATGCTAGATTTATATTTATATAAAAATTACCTAGGGGCTAGGATTGGCTCAGCGGTAAAGCACTCGCCTAGTGCAGGCGGGACCCGGGTTCCATCCTCAGCACCACATAAAAATAAAGGCATCTAAAAAAATAAATAAATATTTTTAAAAATTACCTACAGGAAACTTAAATAAGACCTTGAATTTAGATTTTGGGAAACCTAGATTCTAGTTTGGGCAGCACTAATTCCAAAGTTTGTTTATTTTGCAGTTTCTTCATTGATAATATTGAGGATAGGTGCTATACCTGCTTCATGAAAGTTTTGTTTTCTTGGTTTTTGGTTGGGGTAGGGGGTGTGAGGGATTGAATGAACCCAGGAGTACTTAACCACTGAGCCACTCTTTTTTTTTTTTATTTTGAAACAGAGTCTGCTTAAATTGATGAGGCTAGCCTTGAACTTTGGATCCTCCTACCTCAGTCTCCCAAGTCACTGGGATTATAGGAATGTGCCACCACTCCCAGCTACATGAGAGCATTATTTAAAAAATAAATAAATATAAATATATATATTCACACACACATACATAGCACAATCAGAAGTGAAATGTTATGGTAATTACATGTTTTGTAAGTTTTAATGTATTTTTAAACTTCTTTAATCCTATGAAAGTGTCAGAGTATTTCAGATGCATACATATTTAACTAAAATTACATCTAATTAAAAACTAAAAGTAGATAATAACTTTGCCAAAAATGTAATTTTAAATTATTTTTTAATACCAAAATAGCCTAGCTTAGAAAAACACAGTAGTATACTTGTTCAACACAAGAAATTTTGTTTTCTCAGTATTGCCTTGAAATGTCCTTTCATATTATGTAATTTTTAACTTTTTCTTATCAGAGAAGATTAACTGTTTTAAGATCAAGGAACTCATGAATCCTGTGGGGTATGAACTATGTTATGCCCTATAATAATGTTTGATCTAACTTAAGTCTTAAAATTGAGTTTCTGCTTGGGTAAAATAAGTGTTTTTGAAGGACCTCAGGTGCTCAGAATTGAGTCATTTTTTATCATACTCTTCATTAGCTTTTCTGTACTAGATATGTTGTTTTATTTTACCTTGACAGTTTTTATCCTCCGCCTACAATTCTATGCTCTCATTCCATACTTTATTTAGCATTTTTCTTCCAAAACATCTTCAATATTTTGGATGTATTTTCTTGAAAAGCTACATAATAATCCTTATGTTTTTAAATTTTATGTAAATGAAACTATGGTATAAATTTGATTCTATAACTCATAAAATAGTAGATTTTCAAAACCTATTCATGTTACTTATATTTAACATGCTTCTAACTAGTATACATTATTGTATTGTGTTTACATGTTATACCTCAAGTACTTAAGTTGTACCTATCTGTTCGCACATCTGCAGACTTATACATGTGTTCCTATGAGCCTGCCCTGTAGTTTCTTTGGTATATATATGGTATATATTTGAGTATATGAATATTTAATTTCACTAAGTACTTCTGAATTATCCTTGGGAATGGTTGTACCAGTTTTCCTTCTACCAGCAAGACATAAGGCTTTATTTTCTCTACATCTTCAGCAGCACTTGATACTTTGATTTTTCGCTAATCTGATGTGTATGAATAGTACTTTTTCTTAATATGCATAATCTGATTACTCAGGGTAAATTATGCTTTTTAATCATTCTGAGTTTCCATTCTGTGCATTGCCTATACTTAGAATTTGTCCACTTTCTATTAGGTTTTTCTCTTTCTTGCTGACTACAATATAAAAAATTATATATCCTCAATATTATTCCCTGTCAGATTGAGATGATGGAAATAACTTATTCTTTTGTTAATTCTCATCTTTAGTATCTTTCATGAAACAGAAATCCCCACCATCACCAATTTTTTGTGTTTTCTAGATCTTGTTTTTCTGTCTGTTTATAGTTTACCTTGTACCTTTAGGTCTTTAATTGGAATTATTTTTCCCTATAGTATGAGATGCAAATTCAGTTTTTTCTACATCTGTTCATTAGGGGGAAAGGAATTAACAAAACCCCTTCTCTCTCCCTCTCTCTGAAAAAATTGTCTTGAGTTTATATTTTCATACCACTGTTTCCTTGGAAATCTACTGGGTTAAAATAAACGTGGAATATTAGCAGTTTACCAGCAACATTTTAGCTCTAAAAAGAAAAGGAGGGGCTGGGGTTGTGGCTCAGTGGTCGAGCACTTGCCTCACACGTGTGAGGCATTGGGTTCGATCCTCAGCACCACATAAAAATTAATAAAGATATTGTGTCCATCTACAACTAAAAAGTAAGTTATAACTCTGCTAACTGAGCTTATTCCTTATAGCAGAGACTTGGAACATATCTGCAAGGATTTTTACAAGGCAGTGTTTCCTGCTGCATGGGAGGCTTATTCCTATGTAGTAAGATACTCTTCTCTACATGCTTTTGTTTAGTGTGCTATATCCTTCCAGCTTTAAATATCCTTGGTAAAAATTATATTGTTTTGGGTCTTTCAGTATGTGTCTTCTGAGTATGCTGAACAGAATTGCAGTCAGTTTTCCCAAAAACAAAACTTCTACTGGTATATGTCAGTTCCTTTCCCAGGCCAACATTGTCTTAATATTAACTTTGTAAGATTTTTTCCTATCAAATGGGTGAATAACTTTTGTCTTATTCTGTTAAAAATAGATACTTATATTCCATATAAATTTTAGTATCATTTTATTAAGTTACCTAAAATAAACTGCTGAAGTTTTTATTAGAGTTGGGTTGAATTCATATAATATAGACAGAATTGGCATATTTACAAGATAAAATCATCCCATTCATGAATGTAAATCTCTCCATTTATTCATAGTATCCCATTTTATTTATTTGGCTAATAATTGTTATCACCATCAAAATAATATCCTATTATTCTAGTGCAGAGAAATAGATTATACATAATATACTGATCTCATGTTTACAGTTTTGATGAATACTGAGTTTCTAATATTGATTTTCTTGAGTTGTCTTTCTATATGCAAATAATGATAGTTTTTCTCATCCTCTTTGGTTCTCATTCTTTTCATTCCCTTTTATTGATATGCCTCAATTGTCGTCTGTATTTCGCAGCTGTGGTAGCAGGCATTTTTTTCATATTTCTGCTTCAGAGTCTAAAGTTGCTCTATTAAATGTGGTACTTGCTATGAGTTTTATGCTAGTTGGATTTTATTAGAAATTCCTTTTGATTGCTACTTTAAATCATTTGTCTAGATCATCTGTTTTTTCACCTTTAGTAATAGTAATTAATGATGAAAGAAATTTATGTTCTGACATTGAGTCATTCTTGCATTCTTTATACAATTTCTTCAGTGAAATAATTTGATTTATTAAAAAGTACACATAAATGAGTAGCATGGAGAAACCTGGCTGTATTAAGGAAAGACAGTATTGCCACTATTTGATGAAGTATCCTTAGAGAAGTTAACCTGAATAGAGGAACTGGGTCATAGTCTGGCTTCATTTTCTCAAGAAATTTATTAATGCCTTTTCTGTGGAAGTCACTGGGAAAGGCCCTCAGCAAACCTTGGGAAACATAGGGTTATCCATGATTAGTGTATTTTGAAAGATACACTAGCTGCTGAAACTGGATATCTGCCTATAACAAAGTTAGGGAGTGCAGGCCACTTAGGGTTTTCCACTTTTAAGCTCTCTGCAGCTCTCAGGAGTAAATCAAAGCAGAACACTTGTGGGTTCTCAAACACTCTAAGGAGCAATGTTTGAAGGAAAAAAGGACTTCATTAGCACAAGGTTCAGGAAACCAAATATTGATAAAAATTTAGGCCAGGCTCACCTAAGCATCATCAGATTAAAATATGTGACAACAGAAGGTAGAATGTTGAAGATAGCTTTCAGTATGTTTTGTATCATTTGTACACTTAAGAACTGGTTGCTCTTTGATGCACAACTGTTATGCTGGGTTCTCACTTCATTTTCTTGAGGTCCTCTGATCTTTCTTGTTTTCATACCCACATTTACCTCTTTGATTTAGTTGGAGACAGTACATTTTCTAAAAGTTCCTGAGAAAGGCTTTCATGGAAGGTAAAGTTTGAGATATTTTTGCAGTGTTGGGCATTGAACCCAGGGCCTCGTGCATGCCAGGCAAGTGTTCTACCACTGAGTCACTTCCCCAGAAAAAGTTTAAGACCTATATGCCTGAAATGTCTGTAATTCTTTCAATTTGAATAGAAATTTGAGTACAG